TTTTTTTTTTTTTTAACAAGAGAGTTTCAAATCAAAGCATTTAATTGCATCAAGCACCAGACTTAACTTCTTGCTATCACGCTGGGACATGGCAGCTGTGCAGAGAAACCATGTGACATGCCTGCCCTCTGCAACAAGGCTCTCCCCTGCCATACGGCACGTTTTCCATCCCAACATCCCTCAACTGTTACCAATTGCCAGCCAGAAGCCGCTGCAACCAACGCGTCACGCCACTGATACAAAAACAATTACTTTGCTATTGAGTCAAATAGATGCAACATGGCACAAAAGCTGTTTTGGCTGAGCAAACCGACCAGTTCCTAAGATCGATTTACGTCCATGGTCTAAGGGGGAAAGCAGCACATCAATGTAGTTGAAACATCTTTTAGGATCTTGCTTGGATGGACCCTAGCTAACTATGAACAGCTACCGGATTATCAGATTTGGATTTCCAAAAGGGAACAACCAACCGAACAACAATGAAAATCCACTTGGACACACTAGTCTCACTCATTTCTTTGTACACAGATGTTAAGGGAAACACTTCAGATTTCTTGCACGCGCCTTGAGATTTCACGTAAGTGGTAATCTTTATTGTATTCTGAAGACAAGAAAGGAAGTTTTCGGGGTAATGTGCAAGAAAAAAGCCTCACCTGTAACCAGGATCACAGCTGGGGTTTCAGACTCACTAATGGAATAAAGGCTAGTTTACAAGTTTACAAAATGCCTCGACCAGAGTGAATTTCCTACCTGTTACAGGGGAGCAGAATCAGCCTGGGCAGGACAAGTCTTAACATTTTAAAACAACATCTGCAGAAATTAGAGAGCTTACACGTGCCATAAAAACTAGCAAGCCCAACTGAAGAGAACTCAATCTTGCCCACTGTATTTTTAATAGTACAAATTCCGCTCAAATTGGCAAAGTTAAAGAGAGAATCTAGAAATGCATGAACAGGTCACGAGTGTACAGTCATTAAATAATCCAATTTTACTTACAGATCAGAACTTCCCATTCACCCCACTCATGCTTCTCTAAGAACAGACACTGGCATGTTTTCAAATTAGCCATTCTTTTTGATTTGGATGCAAACTATTTATGATTAAAATTTACTGGACAAAATCCTTTGGAAAAACATTACCACTTGAAAGTAAAGACAAAATCAAAATTCTGTTTGATCCTTTAAGTGCAATGTTTAAGGTAACCTAAGGAAGTGAGCCAAAGCGGTAAGCACACCTTCAATCCCTTTCTGTGGTTTAAGAAAGGATTTAGTCACATGCTGTATGCAGTCATATTTGGACTGTATAAAAACAAAATTAACCTAAGTGATTTGCATAAAGATTTCTTAAGAGCATCATTTGTTGATTCAATAGATTTTGTGCTAAAATATTTACCTCTATCATATGGTTAAGTCAAATCTTTCTTTATATGCTATGAATAGTTTCTCATGCTGAAAAGAAAAAATGAAAAAAAACCCAAGAACCCTTGACGATTTGCCACATTCATGTTTCATTCACACAAAATGTCATGGCAAATCTGCATTTTGGGCACCTTGATCTTGTCTCTTTACACAGGACTTTTTCATCTTGTTCCAACAGAAGACTGTACAAGGGCTAGAAATTCCACTTCTCGGTGCTAGTCCTTAAAGAGCAGGCCAGTAAGAGGAGGAAACCTAGCTGTCCAAAGTTTAACTACTTTGTCAAGAAGGCATCTCTACCCACAAATGCTGCAAACAAGGCAGTGTGCTGTGGAAAGGCATTGCAGAGATGCCCACTTCATACGGAGTTTGGCTGGGGACTGATCTGTTTTCAACATCTGACCAGAAGCCGCTCTATTTCAAATTGTGGTCTGTGCAAGTAACTCCATGTCATGGAGGGTAAGTAACCCAGTCCCAACAGGTTTCTTCCAATCTTTCTAGACATTTCACTCATAAGCTGCTTCCGAAGAAAGTTTTGAGTAGTTCTCTAATAAAAATAAGATAGAACCTCCATATGAATGCAATGTTAGAAATAGCATATATTACAAATCTGTTCTTGATAGGAACAATTAGTAAGAATACACATTAGCTTAAAAACAGCTCAACAAATGTTGCTGATCTGCAGGAATTTTCAATCCACTATTTACAAATAAGACAAAGTGAATACAGGAAATTTTACACATTTGGTAGTCAACAGGTTATTGTTTGCCAATAGTGGTCTCTCAGAAACTGATATTTAGGAAGACTGGAAAACCACCAGTTATTACCTTCTCAGTCTAAATTTGTAAGTACAGAAATCTAGGTAACAAATATTGAATACATTCTGCCTCTCAGGGGGATTAGGAAGAGACAAAAAATCCTACGAATTCCAAAAAAGACGTATGTGTACATGGTCCATACGTTGGACTCCATTAATACTTATAAACGGACCCTACCGAGAAGCAACGGTTACAGCCAGACCTAGTCCTGTACGTATTAAGAATTCACACTGCTGCACTTGCCAAGTCAGAATGGTTTAATGATCTTTTGTGATGTTTCTGTACATAAAATGCTGGAAAGAAGGCGTACTCTAGATATCTGGATCAACACAGAAGGTCAGTTACTCACAATACCATTTAAATGAGAAGTTGATCAAATAAATGATCTAATTCGCACTCCATTTCACACAAGGGGGGGATTGCTGGCCACACTTCTTACAGTTTAGACTGCAGTCCAGCGTGAGAGTAACCATACTGGTCCAGTCTTGCAGAAAATTTATTAAGCAGTGCAACAGTCCACTTATCTGTACAAGGAGTGCCTTATCAAGTCTGCATCTTTCTCAACATTCACGCACCTCTATCTGTGAGAACAGGCCGAGAGAGAATCATCATCAGGAAAAGAAAAGGAAATTCCAAGTAATCCAAAAACCAAAAAAAAAAAATCCCCCAAAAATACAATACAGGTTTTCCCCATGTTGACAAGAATGTTTTTCTGTACAAATGTTGCTTTGTAATCTAATACTGTCTAAAAGCTACCAGCTTCTTCAAGATGGCCACTGTAGGCATGATATTATTCCGGGAACACTTAAATAACAGTTTTTACAATAAGTTTAGGTCCATATTATCAGATTACTTTATATGCACTGGTCTCTCATCTGATTTTAGACGTTTTCTACGTGGCTGTATAAAATCTTCATCGGAGTCCTCAGTTATTTCACCATCGTCCTCTTCCTGTTCAAACTCAGGCAAAGGTTGGAAGGTCCTGTCTGGGTAGATCTCTGTAAGTTTATCTTCAAAGTACAATGCAACTGCCTTCCCTGCCTGTGCTACTTCTGAATCAGCCTGCAAATAAAGAACAGGAATATTCACCTGTTGGTAACGCATGTCCCTTCACCAAGTGTGCATGGTCTGAAACGCTTACCTTCAAATTAATCTCTTGTGTTTCTGCATAAACTTGAACAACTTTCATCATCTAAAAAGGACACCAGAGTCAAAAAAAATGAAATTATAATCCTTTCTAAAGTTATGCGATTGCACAGGGTTGGATGACTGAAGTCAGCCATCACAGGAAAAACAGATCGTTATGACCAGATTGGTTTAGCTCTCAAATTCAACAAAGAAAGAGAGGTCACCCGCTTTATGAGGCTGTTTCAAAACCTACAGCACATGGACCTTGGGCAATACAGGAGGCTTTGATACAGTAAATGGCTACCAGTTACATTAAAGCAAATGGTTCTCACGACAGATTTTTCTTTACCAAAACTCAGTTGCCCAGAATAGGATCATGGAAAGCCAACGCTATTTCAGTTGTAACAGAAGAGCTCCTGCGCAAGTTCTTTTCTACAAAAGAAACGGGCGTTCTTGCCTCTTTCATTCCCCACTTCCAATTACCTCCATGTGACAGACAGACACGGGAACCAGACCTGGCCCTACAACCTGAGCAATCAGACCCTCTGAGCTTGCGAAGTTAGAGTCAGCACTTAAGAGTGTGAGGAGTCAGGTCTGAAGAGTCCTTTTAAAAGTACATGTTTCCCAGACCCGCCTCCTATTCTTGACACGCATGCAACACCTCTAAGAGCAGCAGCGTTGCTTCCAAAGCGGACACCTCATTCACTCCCTCGATTGAGAGACTTGGAGAGCTGCTCTCCCTCCACATTCCCCATTAACCTCTCTACCTGACACAGGGATATGATAAGTCATGAGCTCAGAACAACCGTGTGCACAGCTGCCTCATTTGGCAAGTTATTTTCAGATTTTACTAAGACCATACCTTACGTGAGGCGGAGCTGAGACTTAACAAGCAGGCTTGTGGTTGCCCCAAGCCGCCACTCTAGGCAGGACAGAAATTCTTTTTGAACAGTGTCAGAAAATGTGAAGTTACACATTGAAAATAAGGATCTACCGCTTCCACCCTCCCTACAGCCCATTCTCCAGGACTTTAGGTTGTACTGTGTGAGAAGCCCCAGAGATGACGATTTCTCTTCCCAGGGTTAATTCCCTTATTCCAGCAGTTTATGGGTGAGGAACGTGAGAGAGCCTACATTTCCCTTCTCTTTGCTCTATTCAGTTACTGCTGCCACCCTTTTCACCAACTTAACTCATGCACATTGTGCACATTTGTGAGGTAGACGAGTACTTCAGTACTTGGCAAGCAGAAGTCACGCTGCAACACGTGCATTTAGCTACACTCACAAGGAAGATCTTACATTTTATGGGCTGCCCATCTCAGGCCCGTTTTTGGGGTAAACTAACCTGAGAAAGTGAGGGGCTGCTGGGTCATGCTGCAGAAAGGCTTCTTAGGCTCCGTTTAGAAATTAAAACCTCATTTTAATTGAGCAAGAGCTAGAATCAGGAGGGCTGGTCTCTGCAGACGCTTTTTTCCTTAACAAAGTTTGCGGCATAATATTTGATGAGCACTGATCAGTGGCAGTCTGCTTTGCTATCATCTGTGAGATTTGGAGGGATGCCCGATTAACCCTGCACTTCTGACGCATGGCTGCAATCCATTTGAGATGGGCCAGCCAGGAGGTCGTGCTGCTTCTTGGTGCAGAATGCAAATTTAAGAGCAGCTATTGCCAAGCCAACTGCTGCCTGCAAACCTTGGTACAACTCTTGCCTTCAGTGCACTGTGTAACCCTCTCAGCCAACATGAAAGGAAGGCCTGCACTCGGGCTGTATGTACTTGCAAAGGGTCCAACTCTTCAGGTGTTCCACACACAGCACTTCTGGTCTGCAAGCAGGAGCTGTGTGGAGCAGCTGCAGAATCAGCCCTACACCAACCTTAACTGCTCTAGAGATTGGAAGCGAACATACTTCGTTAAACCTTTCACAGTTCTTGAAGATCAGCCGGACATCTGCCACAAAATCCTCGGGAGTTTGGTAGTGTTGGGAATGTTTCTTCTGCAGCTTCTTTTTCACCGTTGATAAATCCATTGGTTTCTTTATAATTTTATAGTAGTTTGGTATCTGCAAAGAAAGAGTGTATCTGATCACAAGCCGCCCAAAATGGCTGCTATGCAATTCTTTTGTTCACAGAAGCAGCATATTCCATTCACTTAAGGTCAGCAACCATCCAACCCCGTCAGAGCACACGCACACTGTGTATCTGGGAAAGCCACGACTGCGTGGGGAAGGTTAACACCACAGCAACATAATAATCAAGTTAATAATACAACATACTGGATGCTGGAAAGAAACTTGTGTATAAAGATCAAGGTGCAGTATCACTGTCTTCTAGAACCATTAAATGTGACTTCTCTTACATCTCTTGGAAGTCAAAATTTTTATTCTATCCACATGGCTACCAACGGGTGGGTTTTTTTTAAAGCCTTCTGCTAAATACAAATGATAAAATATTTTGCATTTTATCAGATACCCCAAAACCTTTGCAGTCCATTCAACTATTGCTATTTGAAAACGTTTTAGAACAAACACGTTTAACAATTCAAAGCACCATTCTAAGTTGGACCAGTGACATTTTCAGATTGGTTTTACTCCAACAGCGTCTTGCTGATGAATGTGAAGAACAAACAACTTATTCCCAACACAGAAACCTGTTAAGACTTTGGTCCCTTGGAGACATCATTTGCATTTTATTTTTATTTAATTTCCCCCCGCCCCATCATCACGCAGCAGGAAACTCACCGAGGCGGGGACTGGCTCTTGGAATTCAATGCTCAGCTCATGGCAATATAAGTAAAGCAGGAGACGTTCACATTTCTTGTGAAAACAAACAAACCAGAAATCTTAAAATTAATACCCTACATTTAACTTCAGTCAAAGAGTCTGTACTTAAATAGGTTCATATTATACTGTCTCACTAGAAGAAAATGAAACCTTGAGCCTACATTTTACTTTTCATTCATTTTCAAAGATATGGAAAGTATCCATTGTGAAGGGAACAACAGATTTACTTCAGGTAGCCCAATGTTAAAAGCTTGTTAACTCCTGCCTTCCTTGCTTTCCTTTTCCCAGAGGGGACAGAGCTGGGCTAACAAACCAAATGCTGCAAAAAACCATTAAATGAAGGCAGCCAGCTCAGGAAGGGCAATTGGGCAGTGGTCAGTGACACTGTTATGCTCGACAGCCTGTTGCAGGCCACTGATTATACTGTGCCACCAGACAACATGCAAGGGTTTGCCTACTTTTTCCACACGTGGTTGGAATGAAACAATCTGAAAATCCATTCAAACTATTGCTTTTTTATCATTTCCCCCATCACAAACATTTTACTCTTTCAACTGGGTAACAGCCTCCTTGAAGGAATTCCATTTAATAAGTAATAGGCTGCAGGCAATCTGACTGCTTACATTAAACAATATGCACAGCTGGATCTTTCCAATATGCTCTTAAATAACAAACAGCACCACTCATCACACGTTTAAGAAATTCAGCTTGCATAAAGGAACTAACTGCATCAGGAAAGTTAAAAATTTTAAGAAGGTTAAACCCACAAGAGCTCCTAATTAGAACCACTTCTGAGATTAATGTTAAAACATGCAGTGTGTTTACAAAGAAATTTTTGCTTCTTGGGTAACGTACAGGTATAGTGTGGGGATGACAACGAACAATTGGTTAACAAGCCCAATATGACACTTCTTAGACTCTGATGCACACAGTCTTTAACACATACCCTTTGGTCCACCGGACTTAAGCCTTGTGCTGTTTTCCCCTTCTTACTATGTTGCAAATTGTCACAATCATATTCTACTTCAGGTTTGCTTAGATCTCTGCAGAACGTACATATCCACTCCCCACTAAATAAGAAGAGACACAATTAGTTCAGGAATCCAGAGACAAGGTCTACTATTCAGTGACCACCTGGATATTTCTATAGCTTCTTTACCTCCCCAGAGTCACTGTGTAGAATATTAAAGGCTCCTGTAACTTAGTACAGTATAGTACTGTTTATCAAACTCGTATTCCTGTACCCTGCGCGTGCCTTCAGCGTCAGTGAAAAAACACCACCACCATACAGGGAACACACATGCATGAATGGGCCAGTGAACATGTTGGAAGTTTTCGTGCTACTCGTGAGCACTGGGGCTCCAGGGCCACTCATACTGTTGAGCAGCCTACAAAGACATTTTTTGGAATGGAAAGTTGATTTGATTTCTGGTACCTGGGGAAGCTGAGAAGTGTCGGTACGTGACAAGTGAGGTGAAACACCTTTGGGCACTTTTCGCAACATAAGAGATCCCCTCCATTTTGGCATACAGCACACCAATCTTCATTTGGATCATCCTCCTTGTTGTTGCCTTCTCCCACTCGTGCTGATCGATGCATTAGACTTCTTACTGGAGATTTCCCGTTTACCAGACTGTGCCCAGATTGCTTGCAGCTTTCACTTAAATCTGCTGGTTCAGCTTTTACATGATTTTCAAGACTCCCCAAAGCTTCCAACTCGCTTTCCAGATGCAAGTTTGCAGACAGAGGTGGTGTCAAGCTGCTCTCGGGACTGCTAAGCTGGAATAAGAGCAGCACGTGATAATTTGCAAAGGGATCAGTCTACAAATTCATCTTTCCTCACATATTGGGGATCAGAAGCCATTTGGCTGCTTACTACCACTGCAGACTAAGAATGCTGGTAAATCCTTGCTGGACACTGGAAAGAGAATCACTATTCTATAAAAGTCTAGCCTCTTAAAGGGATGGCTCAATCTAACGATAAATTCTACAGAAAACACACCTGCTACTTCGCTATTTTTAGGCTGACCTTTAACAAAAGGCTTTGGATAACAAGTTGCCTCATCCCACTCCCAGTACACAACCCCACCAAGACATCAACCAGAGTTAAAAAACCTTGCAATATTCTCTTTGGTGGCTTCTCAGCATCCTTGCATTAGTGTTGTGATGAGCTCATTCTGGTAAATCAGTTTATGCATTTGGGAGATTCAGACTGTTTTTCTATGAGGCATTGCAGGGGACTTGGATGAATGTTTGTGACTATTAGATTAATGCTGAAAGTCTAAGATGGAGCTATTTAAAGCTTTTATTAGCTAGAGCTAAAAACAGTGAACATACTAAGACGCTAACGGTAGTTTTACTGAATGCCTGAAGAAAGCACTAGTTGGCAGACTCCAGCCTGCATTTTGTGGACCACGTCAGATTCAGCACCCGAACCAAAGGGCAGGATCAACTCCTAAGCAGGGCCAACTAGAGATTAAGTTCCAACTCATTTCTGCTGTGCCACTTCCAAGGCACTGTTACCCAAGAGCAACACCTGCCAAGAGAGGATGGCATCTCGCACGTTTAGATCAAATCTAGTCCAAATCAGCCCAAGACAAAAGAGGAAGCATCTGTCTGACAGCACATAGCAAACAAGTGGCAATCCCAGTCCTGTTGCCCCTGGACTGGTATTCACATCATTAAACCCTATCATTACCACCAGCAGCCTCAGTGCTGGCAAGATACTGGCAGGCCCTGTTCTCTCTGGACCCGTGCCATACAGAACAGAGCTCAGGCACAGTACTGGGGAGCAGGAGGTGGGGGCTGGCTTGCCTTTCAGTTGCTAAAAGGCTCTGTTTCCTAAGCACCATGTATTTCTGCTTTCCTGGTTCTCAAAGGTGCAGTAACATGCAGTTTCACACAACAATTTTACCATGCACGCGCTTCTTCTGCCATCCTCTGTTTTTTCTTGCTTCACTGCTCCTGAGAAACTACATATCTCTTCCTCTGTCCCAGGCTCCTGCTTGACTTTCACCTGGTCAGACTTGAAATTAATGCCCGTCTTCTCAGCAGTTCTGCCTGATGAACCACAGCTAGAAAAAGAAGCGTGCAAGTGTATGGAAAGCTCAGGTGCACTTCAAAAATGAAAACACAACAAACAACACCCCCTTAAGTCTCACTGAAAATGTCTGCTTAAAAGCCATGCCTATAATTTACAAGAAAAAAAACATTTGTGATGGGTTAAGACATGAATTTGCTATATGGAATCACTCTTCAAATAAGGGGTCACAGTTCTAACAGTGATTGGTTGAAGACTTTTGAAGTCTCTATTTATTCTTGACATTTGATTTTTTAGCCACGTTATTAACTAGTAACATACTCACCTCCCCCTGCTGCCTGTGCTAGAGGTGCTAGGTGGCCTCACTGGGGTGTGGGAATTGGATAAACCTGAAAAAAAAAGCATTTCTGTGAAAAGCTGATTCTGTGTAAGGTGTTAACATTTACATGGAGCACCACCAACAATAATTATGCTAATGGTGGCCCAACAGTTCAGGCAAATCAGCAACCCTTCAGTCACTTGGCTCAAGCACAAAGTTTGACCCAATACTGACATTTTAATGGCAGTTTGTCAATTGCCTTTCCATTCACAATCTCAGTATTTACTTACAAAGATGGCCATGCTTTTGACCTAAAAATGTCTCTATTTTTTTTTAAATAAGAACTTAGTACAAAGGCAGGCCTGTTGTATACATTTCATATAAATTCAAAGATAGAGAAAATAAATTAGAAAAATGTTACATGGGTAAGAGGCCTGCTAGGGTGCTGAAAGAACTGTTTCATGGGTATGTGTAAATCAAGCCTATACAGACTGACTAATAGCAATAACCTAAACATTTACATCCCAAGAAGGGGGAGGAAAATAATTTTAAATTATGTTGGGGAAATTGCTTGCCAATTATTTTCAACACACAGCCCCCTCCCATCCTCTCTCTCCAGTTTACCTGACGATCCTGGAGACAGGGCTGAGGGCCCCGGGGAAGGGTTCATGGTGCTTGTTGGCTGAGGGGGTAGGTGACTGCCTGAGATGTACCTGCTGAGTAGGTTATCCAAGCTACTTGATCCAGCATCTTCCAGCTGAAAAATAAATCCCAAGTTTAAGTCAGAAGTCCAGAGGTTAAGAAAGTTGCACCTCACAAGGTCTTTCTCCTAAAGGATATCACACCATGAACCGCTAACAATTTTCATCTGCATACACACGTAAGGGTACATGCAACTACATACATGCTAGCTGAACAATATATTTTTAATTAAAGTTGTCAATTTCTCTCTGTATAGCCAATCAATCATTATAAAATCCTTGAAAAGTGAATATGCCTAAAGAAACATTAAATCAGAGTATCAATTCTAGATACTCCTGAAGTACTAAAATGCCAGGTGGCCATAAGCTAATTTATATCCTGCAGGCATAGCTTTTTCTCCCAACAAACACTGACTGAATTCAGCACACACCTGCACAGCTTCTAGTTGTATTCTCACTTTACAATAACATTTATACCAGAATTAGTAATGCTCTAAATTACTTAAGTAGGAACTCACTGACAAGTACATCAGCAGCCTAAAACTTAAGCTTACTTTTCAGTTATTTACCTAAATAGGTTTCTCTGCACGAGGAAAAGCTGTAGTGTCAGAGTGCAGTAATTCAAAAATACGCCAATTGAAGTGACAGATTTAACTCACTTGACGTCAATTACTCAAATCAGAAGAGTCTCTATAAAACTAAATCAGAAAAATGGCACTATGGCAACTCTAGATAATGAGCTAAGTGACAAGTGCTTCAAAAAACCTTACAGGCATAATGAGGCAACCTTAAATCTGAATTAGTCAAGTTCTGGGTCATAAATGGCATCAGGTTCAACAACACCGTACAACTGGTTACACTTTCCCTGTGCACCTAGCCTTACGTGTTAAAATAGATATTCTTATTGGACATCTTTTCTTGTGGCTCTAAGTGTCACTAGGGGTCTTGATATCAATGTTTTGTATTAAGTTACTCCATAATATTAGTACGCTTTAACTTAGCTGAGCAAGTCAGCACTGGACACTCAAACAGTCATGGCCAAAGCAAGGTGACAATCTTTTGAAAAGGACTGCAAACAATAACAGCCTTAATACTTACTGTAGTAATAGTACACCCATACAAGAAAAAAAAAAAAAGAAGTAGTAAAGGCACTTTTAGTTGAAGAAAGTCTGTTACTTAATCAGTAACAAAGTGTTTGGATCTGGAACACTAACCTGAATGGGTGGGATATCTGGCAGGGAAGGGAGATTCTCTGGATTTGTCACTGAAGGAATGAGTTCTATTGCTGTAACAGATGGACTTGTTGGACCACGGTTTGCATTTGCCATTGTAGCTGTTGTAGGACTGGTTGGATTGATAGTGTTGTTGTGCACTGAAACAACTGGAAAAGGTCCTGCATGCCCTGGATTAGAATGCTGTTGGTAGAGAGACAGGCACTGTCAGAAGAAAGACAGTAAAGCATCTATTTGTAGAGGTGCACCAATATATCGGTCGCATGTCGGATTGGCAGCGATAAAGGGAAAATTAACATTTTCGGCCATCGGCTCTTCTCGGCCAGCGTAGCCAATAATCTCACCAATAAATGCTGTGTGCACGTGCGCAGCCACAGCATGCACACCACACGGCCAGGAATGTAGCCGGGCAGCTTGGACAGCAGTGTCCAGCTGGTAAGTTGGAGGGGAAGGGGGGGGGGGTGCAGATCAAGGCCCTCGTGGTGAAGAAGGGAATAGGGTAGGGGCTCCCCAGCCAGGGTGGTGAATAAGACCCTGGGGCCAGGAGTGGGACCGAGCCATGGCTCGCTGTGGGCTCAAGGCCAAGGGCTGTGCCAGCCTCTTCCTGGCGGGGAGGCTGTGCCCGGGACAGGCTCAGTTGTGTGGGGTGGGTAGCAATGTGAGGGGTGGCTATGGTGGGGTTCCAGGGAATTTTGGGGTGGCTACAGCTCCCCAAGCCCCCCCCCGGCACTCTGCTCTGCTGCCTTTCCCTCGGGAAGTGCAGGCAAGGCTCCTGAGGGAAAGGCAGCAGAGCAGAGTGCCCCAAGCAGGGGCAGCACTAAGGGAGGTTTGGGGGACTATAACCACCCCAAAATTCCCCTCAACTCCCCCATAGCCATCACTTCCAGTGCTGCTGCCCAACCCGCGCAGCGAAGCCTGCCCTGAGCCCAGCTCCCCTGCCAGGTGGAGGCTGGTGCAGCCTCTGGCCCCAAGCACACAGCGGCTGTCCTGCGCACAAATCTGGGGGGCCAAGGCCCTCCATGTCTCCCCTGTGGGTGCATACAGTGGTGGCGAGCCACCCCCGTCCCCGCCACTGCCCGGATGAGCTCTCCATGCTTTCATCCCACTCTAGGCCCCAGGGTCCTATTCACCACCCTGGCTGGGCAGCCCCTGGCCTCTGCCCCACTCCCTCCCTCCCTCACTGTGGGGCCCTTGATCTGTCCCCCAACAGACGTACCACCACTAGGCTGCTGCCAGGCTGCATTCCTGTAAAATCCACTATTGGACTGGTATCAGCCAACATGGCTGGTTAATAATCAACTATTGGTATTGGCCAAGAAAATCTTTATCAGTGCACCCCTATTTATTTGCACATAAAATTGCTGGACTTTACACTACATGCAGGTTCCTGATATTATTCCCAATGTAGTTTAGTAATTTTTGCTGAAGATACAATATGAATAGAAGACTTAAATCATAATGTAATACGCTAAGTAAACAGCCAGCATTTCATGTCGAATCTGGAATGGCAAAAGTCTACAGACTGTGGATCGCTAGAGATCCTGGGATACAGCACAGAATTCCCGTATCTCCTACGAGTTTTAATTATTTTCCTGTGTATTTTCATTTTCTTAGCAAAGTAGTGGTTTAACGTAGATGACTTTAGCAGAGCGTATATTTCCATATTAGATTCACAACTGTGCTTCTGAAAGCATTAATAAAGACTTGGTTTTTCTTCTTTTTTTAAAAGCATTCTTGTCTTTTGGTTATCTTCCATTATTTTGAGGATTTTTATTTTGAATAGTAAGCAAAGCTTCGAACCCCATTTAAAGGGTCACATATTTAAAATGATTTAGGACCAAGTATTCTTAACCCCAAATAAAGTAAAATTTCTATTGATACCATAATGATGTTAGAAGCTCAACAGCTGCACAACCACCAGAGTGAAAACAACTATTTTTGTTTCAGCTTCTTACCAGACCAAGATTCAAGAACAGCAAACAGTAATTTAAAATGTTAACTTGGGTTTTTTTTTCCCCCCTAATACTCACTTAATAAAACGTCCTGGTGCACTATACTATTAAGAGTCAAAATGCATGCATAACTTGTGCACTGCTAAAATACACAAGTGTATCTACATAAAACTATACCGTTATCAGAGACTCCGAACTTTTAAATGAAAGCTTGGTATAAAGGGGGCAAGCAAAGTGTGTACACAGGATATACTTGTCTTTGAAGATGAGGCTGCATCATGGAGTACTGTGGTCCATTGTGGCGCGGTATTCCCGGTATGCGTGCAGCGTTCTGAGCCATTCTCATCTGGTGCGCTTGGAAAGCCCCGCAGTTCATGTTCCCCCTCTGCATGGTCTGCATGCTGATCAACCTGGGAGGCTGCAAGAGTTTGGGGGTCTTAAATTCTTGCTTTGAACAAGGACACAAGAAGCAAGTCTTCCTCCAAAGAGATAGCTGGGACTACTGACAAAATGCACGGTACCAAGGCAAGCCAAGAGCTGCCCTCTTTTAAAGCATGTCAACTTTCATAAGACATGCATTATAAATGAATACTGCACGACAGAACTGGGTAACTTCATACTGAAGCAGCACAGATTTGAGTCTTAACATTATGCAGTGCAAGGCAACAATGGTCGGGAAACTTGCCTGTTGCTGTAACATTTGAGGGCCTGTCTGCCTAGGGACTGGGCCAGCTGGTTGTCCCATTCTCATTTGTTGCAACTGCTGATGTTTTTGTGCATACACCTGCTGCTGCATATGCTGAAGCCGAAGCTGTGCTAGATTAATTTGTCCTGGGGCTTTGTTGATGTGATTTGTTCCTGGAGGAGCCTGTCCAACGACCACATTTGGAGTGTAACCAGGAGATGGTTTATTTTCAATAACAAGATTACCTAAAACATAAAGAAAACAAAAGTAAACTGTTATAATACAAGATCTCCAACTTCTCCAAGATCAATACGAGATTCGAACAAGCATCTCAACCTTTTCTTCAACTTCTTCAGTACTTTAATGTGCAATAATAAAGCAATCTAAACCTGAAGTAAAACAGAAAACTGCCACAGCCATATCGTAACCCTCTCTGATCTAGTCAGAATTAAACACTTACAACCAGGATTGGCAACTCAGATGTCAACTCTATTGACTTGTTTTACAAGCTTTTTCTTTTGGCAAGGTTTTCTATCGTCTAAACTAAGGCACTGTTTAAGTCAGCATCTTTGCACAATAACTTCAGCTCATGAAGTTACTCATTTAAAAAAAAAAAAAAAAAAAAAAAAAAAAAAAAAGAAATAATGGTATAAATGGTATTTTCTGTAACAGAAATGGGCTTGGTGCAAGATGATCAGACCAAGGTCTTAACATCTGTCTAGGAAAAGATATATTTTGGTCAGAACAAAACTTCCCGCACTTAGCATGCTTTGATGTAGGCCTTTTCAGCACGAGAAAGATATGTTGCAATCACAACAGCGTGCCATACACGTATGCTGAGGCTTCTACAACTACTGCCTTAAAAACCAAAAAAACCAATTGATGCTCCAGCAGTAATACCGCTACAGGTTAAGTGCACGTAGGACCCTAGCCTTTTTGAGAGATCACTGCTACAAACACCAGGTGGATTTTTCCACATCCATTCAAATCCTGGACTCCTACCAAGAGGCAACAAATATTAGAGTGGTTTTCAAATGGCAGCAAGAACTGTATGAAAATCAACTCATTTGACATGAGTTAGAGAACAGTACAGAGGCCTCTTGAAACCAGGCAACTGGATTTTCCAAGGCATCCAGTCCTCTTCAGAGCTTTGTTAGCTTATGTCATTTTAAAAACATTAAGACATCTAGTCATCTGATAAACCAAATCTAGCATTACTTCCAACATACGTGACTGAAAAATTAAAGTCGTTCCTCAATAAAAGGATACTTGCCCAGAAACAAGCTTTAGAAACTTATGGAAAACTCTAAGTGTGGTTAACATTTCTAGTTAGCAGAAATGTGTTAACACTTCAGTATTTCAACCAAGATTGCTCTAATCTAGAGCTAGAAAACCTTGCCAAAAGAAAAGGCTTATAAAGCAAGTCTACAAAGAATCATGGCCTATAAGTATAGGTGCACTGATACTGATACATCGGTCCTGTATCGCGTCAGCACCTATATAAGGAAAACTGACATTATCGGCAATTGGCTTCTTTTCGCTGATCTGGCCAGGAATGTCGACGAAAAGTGCTGCGTGCATGCGCGGGGCAAGGAAGGGCTGCTGCTACGTGCAAGGGCCGAGAGCAGTGCCGGGCTGCACTTGGGGCAGTTATACAGGTTGGCAAGGTCAGTGTGAGGAGACATCACGCATCAACGCTGAAGAGTTTGTGGTGACTACATACTGGAAATGGAATGTGCAGTTACCAGAACTGTTTCCATTAGGACTCTACTTCAGAGACAGTTACAGAAAGGCATTCCCTCCTATTTCATATTACTTTAGATTGTGTTGAAAAACCTCCTCCTCCCAGTTTTCCAGGTGCCACCAATAAAAGTTATTTTCTCACCTAAATTGACAACGTTCTTTGCCCAGAATGTGGGGTCACAATGGAAGCGTATTGCTCCGTTGGCAGCCGGGACAGGATCACAACGTGCCTTTAAAATATGGCGCAACTGGAATGTAATCTGATGGGAAGCAAAAACAAAACCTGTGGTAACTGCATGCATCTACACTAAGAGAAGAATTTGTTCAGTGAATACAGCATTGCCAGATATCTAATAATAACTTTTTAATAGCCAATTAACTCATTGTAGAATTACAGTGGTGAGAGAGGGTAGTTATCCACCAATCATCCAGTAAGAGCTCAGCTCATCAATAGTTTCAGTATCCTCCACAGAGCTGACTTCCATCATCACTGTTCACATGAGGAAGTCTTACCACCTTCTACATGGATGACTAAGTGGAAGTGCACTTTGCAAATTCCCCAGTAACTTCGCAGGCCTGGGCTTTTTACTCCTTTCATTATAATGCAAGTTACACATCTAAATCTAAGTTAACTCTAGCAGGGAGTTGGACAAACCTGCTTTCATTACTACTGAAATCACAAAGGTTATACGGTTTCTTCTTTGGCATGTGAAGAACTAGTTCTCTGTTTGCTGGAAGTAAGCTGGTGAAACACAACTATGTCTCCACAATGTCTTTGATAGTAAAGTTCTCTTTTGTTATACCCTTGAGTAACCAAATTGCAACAGGGACATTTCCTTACCAGTCGCTTGCTGTAGAGTAGTGCAGTGCTACTGCCACTTGCAATGGCCCAATTAGTAAAGTTCATCACATGCTTCACCTGCCGTGAAAGACCAGTTATGTCATTCTGCTGCTGTATTAACTTCATCTGTCTCTCCTTTGTCACATTCTACAAAGAAACAGAAAATCACATTAGGTGTTTATATTTAAACGTCTTCTACGCCTGGATCACAATTCTCATACAACAGATTAAGAAAGCATAGGTTGCACAGGGAGCTGGTCCGGTACTTGCATTTCAGCTTCCTAATGCTTTCTCTTATAAAAGACTGGCATGAAGTTCTAACAAATCCAGTTTTCTTCAGAACACTTCAAAATTCAGAGATCCAGGGGGACAGGAAGTTTCCTTCACATTTAGCAGTTATGAGTTGTTGAATGCTGCTGCTTCCTCTCTCACTGGTGCTGTCAGGAGCATGCCAATGCAACTGCCGAACATCAACATTTCACCCTGAAGTCAGGACCATGGTGCACCAATGCAGCCAGGAACCAGTGACTGGGGAGGAGCAGGAAAGTCTGAGGGTCTGCAGTCCATGTCTAAGGGGTCCATGAAAGATGACTATGATCAATCAAAGTCTGAATTTCCAAAAGGGTCTGCACCTCCATTCAAAATATTTTAGGGGTCCGCAAATGAGAAAAGGTTTTGAATGGAGGTGCAGACCCTTTTGGAAGTTTTGGATGAGGCCTCAGAAGGATAAGCAACAAAAGCAAGCAACTGAGGAGTGATAGTAACATCACGTTTGTGTGAATTTACCATTTAAGAGAAGTAGATTTTGCAGACCTAACCAAGGTATAGTCTAGACACTAGGGGTACATGAGAGGTGGGGGGAGGAGGTGGTGCTTCAGACTTAGGAAAAGGAGCAAATTTAAAAGCAAGAACATGACACAGAGGCACAAGTTTGGAAGCGTTCCATTTCACCGAGCTGAAATTCAACTCCCAGAACGTACAACTCGAGGGTAATTCTGGTACTGAACTCGTTACACAGAACAAGGCTGCTCACTCAAGCGGTGAACAAAACTAGTCTTTTTTTGCTTTTAACAGTACCTCAAGCTGCTGTAAGAGAGATTTTCCCTTTTTATTGATCTCATTGATGAGGGTGAAAATGGCCACTTTGATTTCTTGTTCTACTCGTTTATTAGTTTCATTTACTTCTTTTATCCTAAAAAGGGAGAAACATGTTGTCAAGCAATCTCATTACACCATGCCTCCAATACTACATACCATAATTGTACCCCTGGATAGCAAAGAGGCAATTTCTGTATTAAATTAGTTGATGAATGCAGAATAGCAGCTTGTTTATTTTCTATCCAAAGCAGACTCCCAACCTTCTGGCTCCTCGGGCCAGAGGAGTGATGTGGAGTCAGTCTATGGGTTGCATGCCACCTGCCTACCATATCTGGTGGCATGCCAACACCATCTAGAGTGCAGGGCCATGTTATCAGGTCCATGGAGCTCCCCACAGATCTGGAAATCCTGCCGCAGGGAAGTGGCAATTTACACTGTCACTGCTCCCTCTCTGCAAAACTGCCAGACCCCGGGGAAGGCCAGTGGGACAGATGATACAGCTCTGCAGGCTGGATCTGGCCTGTGGGCTGTGCTTTGAGCCCCCCAACCTAGAAGGTACAAGCTTATTAGGGGAAGTCATCTGGAATGCAATTCTCAAACAAAGAGAAAAAACTTACATAGACTGATTTCAGATCCTAACAGTTTGGAGTTTCCTTTTCATCTTTGGACATTAATTGCTTTCCTTTTAAAATTTTTCCCCACTTGAACTAGTGTGAAGTAGTGTCTTTATTTCCAATTTCTTATTTGATCTCTACTTCATGTGTTCTACTGTGAGAAATTGACTTCAAATGGCTTAAATCTTCAAATCCTGCCCATTATATTGTTTACTCAAAGAAAGTCAAATTTCCTATTCACCATTTGAAAGAAGTTGGAGTTGGGAGGCAGAACTTGTGAAAGAATGATAGAAAGTTTTCTAGGAACATCCTCCTTTCCCTGTGCATGCACAACAGGCGCAAACAGACATCACCCTCATGCTGCCATAAACATTTTTGTGGCAGCACAAGCTGTGAGCAACCAGACCTCCCTTGTCGTGGTCCGAGTGCCCCAAAACGTGCCTGACCAAAGGCAGTCACAGTTTATGACACTAGGTGTCCGTTTGCTTACTGCGCACTCCAGGAATTTCCCCGCAGGGGATTCCCAGGGCCTGTCTTTCACTCTGGTGTGGCCAAACCCAGACATCCTGGGAGTTTCCCCACTTGCAAACAAGAACCCCGGGAACCCCCTTGCAGGGGTTTTCCAAGGCTCAAGTTTCATGGGTTGGGGTGCAGATGGCTCAGCAACATCTGTTTCTGCTGATCAGCTGGACCAGCTGTGCCGGGACAAAACAGTCCGTTTTTGCCATAAAAGATGTCTGAAAAGTGGACGCATTGAACCCTATGGCCGGTACTTGGCACAGACCACAACAGTAGAGGTTATTTTACTCTGTAGTGAAATCATGCCACAACTCCAGCTGTACTGGTGCAGCATCTCTGAACCACTGGTCTCCCACTGCCCTGTGGCCCACACGCAGCAGAACGTAAAGCATTTCAAATGCAAGCCCAGTGCGACTGACATGAGGACAAAGCAGAACTGAAGCACTCTTCTAGGTCCCTGTTCACTTGCATTAATGCGTCTTATTAACTTCTGAACTGTTGCAGGTACTTACCTATTCTGGACTTGAGTAGCTGCAAAATTAACATAATTCTTCTTTTCAAGAAGTTTGGCTAGCAGATTCTCAATTGCACCTTTCTGATTCTGAAATGCTTCTTCCAAAAACTGATACCTTTCAAAGCCATAAGAGAGGACACCATTTATTACGGATCAGTGCATTGAATTAACACTTTTCAATTTGTGAGTGACATTTTGCCAAGTGGTTATTAATGTTCAAGTTGCAATACTTCTGAATGGTGCGATAAAGGCCTACGTAACGCTCCTGAAAAAAGAACATTCAAACTTCCACATGTATCAATGTGTGTGAACATGTTCAAATAACTTGGTTTATCGTGTATGAACCGGGAGAAAGGACAAACTATTACAGCTCACAAGATGGCAGCTTATTGGATAGCAGGTAAAGAGAACAAGTCCAGAATTAACGCGAGTGAAAATTTTATCTTTCATCAATATTGAAGAAAGAAAACCCCTTGAAGACTCCACAGAGAAAAAAAATGCATTAGGCTACCTTCTGGTCATTAAAAGATAGACATAGACAAAATGCATTGCACGCACAAAACACAAAAGTATACTGAATGCAAGGAAGAGATTCCACCCCAGGACAAAGAAAATTAATTTCACTTCTCAGACTGCTATTCATATTTGACCAAGGCAGCCTAAGTCAAAAGCTGCTAAGTTTTCAGTTTCTCCCCAAGTGAAAGACTTTTCCTCCATAATTTCCCACATGCTAAAAATCCAACAGAAAAGACTGCGTCTACAATAGCTTCCCTTCAGTATTATCTTGGGGCGGGGGGAAAGAGGATAAAAACTACACCCTTGGCTACATTTACCCTAAATGAGGGATGTTTTCCTAATTAATTCAGGGCACTGCAAGATGGGACAGAAGAGAAGCAGAACAAGTAACTTCAGGATAGAAAGGACGATTTAAAAAACTCTGAAGAGCTGCGATTTGTTTTTCTGTCATGTGCCTTCCAGCATGTCACCCAAAACTCTGCTTGCAGACTTACAAAGGGAATGACTTGGTTATCATTCTCTTTGCTGTATGTAAACTTCAAAACTTCTCAAGTGTAACTTAGCAATGGCATAAGGAATCCTACCCAAGAGCCCCAGAATATGCTTTTCACCACCCTCGCTACAGACAGTTCCAGCACTATTCAGGTCAGGAAGTTTTAGCAAATGGAAGAAAAATAGTTTTGAGACGGATCAGAAGCATTAATGTTCTGCTCAAAAGTTATCACTGAACAGAGGAGTAAGTTTCATAAGGAAACTAAAAGAACAATTAGGGCCTGGCTAATTAATCCTGAGAAACACCTGGATCCATAATTAAGGTAATGCAAACATCTTGCTTCAACTGGATCATGCTTGTGCAATAACACTTTGGCAAGGGACTGCTACTTATACCAGACTGGTGTCACTTTTGTTTTTTTGCAAACTGCTATCCACTTGAAACCAGCAACAGGTTTGAGCTACAAGAGTATCGTATCTCAAAATCAGCACCAACATCATCTCTACCTATGGGTATTTCAAGAACTGTTAGAAGAACCTAGTGTCCTGGTCCAGGAGAGCAGCCTGTAGCTGCTAAACTATCACAAACTAATTGGATTCATGGCCCACAAATATGCAACAGCTCTCAAAGACCTGTTTGAACAACCAGAAACGCACATGCTCTTTGTCTATTTATACCAAAGATGCCACAACAAAAGACCCAGCTAAATGTCACCTTTTACTGCCCTCTATAAAAGTCCTTAATTTCACTTTTATCACTTAATGATAAAAGAGGCAGCCATCTTACCCAGCTGCAATTTACAGCTGCACACAGAGGAAACATTTTACAGACAATTTCTATTTAGTGGTAACTGAAAGAAGGTTATCAGAGAAGTCTTATGGAAGAGTATGCTGTAGAACAAGATGCGTCTATTTATGGATTGTTAATCAGTTAGTGTCAAGTGCACAACAGGCAGATGCAAGACAGGCTACCCAGCAAGCACTAGTCAGCAAATCCTGGAGAGCAAAAATTTTGGACAACTGCATTTTGAGGATGTTTACAATCAACAACATGAAAAAAAAACTGGGCCAGAGATCTCTCAGTGGCTTAAGTTATCAAACTCACTAATTTAGAACTTAAAGTAAAGAGTGTTTAACTGCCGTACTATTCTATAAGGTTACTGAATATACTGGGCAGATGAGAAAAGCCACCAAAATTAGCCATTTCAAAGCATTTTCCCAATAAACTTGAAGAGCAGCTTTCCAGGGGTATACGTGCTGTCTGGAGTTCGACTGCTGCAGGCAGTTCGGCAAGGGCTGGCTAACGCCAACGACAGAGTTTATTTTTATAGCTAATTATTTGAAACGTACAAGTATGCACATTAACATCTTTATCGTACCACTGCACAACCCTCACTAGTCTCTCCTGCTCTTCAGCAGATACAAAGAGGGGAAAACGAATTCTCAGTTACCATTTTGACAGGGAATAAGGCCAGTTTTAGAAAAATCAAGCAGTAGACCAAGACCAGGTGGAGGGCTTTAGCTCTTTGTGTTGGGAAAATACAATAATCTGACACAAACCTTGACACAATTTGATCCTAAATTGAAAAACTGTTACAGTACACATATTAAAATATGCCTTTACCAAAATTGCAATCTCTCCCATGATTCATTACTATAAACTCGGCTTTTTTTTTTTTTTAAATAACATTGACTTTAAAGATATGGGCTTGTGCCAAATTATATTTTATGAATATTTAATTTGTGACCTGATTAAAGTTGCCACACTAGCAGATGCCAGGCAGGTTAACGCTGTAACCGCCACTGTCCGTTCATAGCACGCCTGACTAGCAGCTCTGCATCCATCCCTGGAGGCCCAGCGTAGCTCTGCTAGCGTGCTACCCTTACGACTTTCAGTACCCCTAGCAGGGTTTCCCTGTCCAAGCAAGCACTGCAGTCCCATGAAGAATAAATGCAGCGGTTTTTCAAGGCACAAATGCTTGAGATTAACTTCACTTCTTTTTCTAAGAAAAGGCACCACAGGAGTTAAGACATGTTAATATTTGTACCTGTGTTCTTTGTGTTCCAATAACTGACAGTCTCTGCATGTCAGTCTGTCACATGTTTCACAGAAAAGTTTTAACTGTTCTTGTTTGTGGACAGGACAGAAAACAGGACGCTGACCGGATGCTCCCACGGCCTCTGTTTTTAAAAACAAACCATTTTCGCATTTTAAAATATAGTTTAAGACAGTTTGAAGAGCAAAGTTGGTAACTGCCATTACGAGTAAGATTTGAGAGCTCTGCCAAAGCCAATTACAAACCTATTCTCAGCCTCGGCTGTGTAAGTTACTGTAAATATGCACTCATTAAAATATTTACAGCGGTTATGAAGAATTTCCAGGTTTGTTATAGTTTAAGAAAAAGAGGGCCCCCCCCTTCTTCCAAAAAACCCACAAGTCAGTCCTCTTGGATTCTCTTAGATACGTTTAACCAAAGCCTCTGTGATCCCGCAGTACGGCCACCTGGCTTTGCTCTGTTCTAAAGACTCGCGGGTGGTTCACGTGTGCCTCAGACTTTTATACTGTCAAGCACCCTGGGGTCTTCTAAGTGACCTCTTCAAAACCCTGACAAATAGCAGTAAGTCACAATCGACTGATACATTTCATGTCAGTATATATATTGTGTATACTAAGAAATTTGGTATTAGTAACTGTCTAGTCATCTGCACTCCACATGGGCTGGATAATAGTAATTTTACACCCAACCAGATGAAGGATAAGGGAAAATATTTCTTTGGGTTTCTATACTGCCCAAATCTCTTTTGAAGAAGCTTAGGGAGGGGGTTGGAGGTAAGGAAGCAGTCTTTAGAAGATCAAGCAGATACAGATTAAAGAGGGGGGAAAAAAAATGACTGAACATTTTCCTGGATTGTCACGTACTTTTTGAAGCTTGTTATATCAGACAAGTTACTGCAATGAAAGACAGTTCATGAAACCCAAATTAAGACTATTAAAAGGAATTTGACAGACTTCACAGCATTATTTCACATGGCCAGAATACCAGAGAAACAACAGATCGTTTCCTCTGAGCATGTAAAAGAGTATAAATCATTCACTATACCTGAAGATATCACTAAGTATAACTGCATGTCATTTATACTACAGGGAATGCAAATTCTGGCTCTAGGCTCTCTGCATGTCATAAAATGCCAACTTCGTTTTTCTTTTTTAAAGGAAAGATTACCATATTAGAACAGTCCTAAATATTGAAGTGGTGTTTTCCTGCAACCCCTTGCCAAAAGTACTAAAGAAGAAATGGTTCTCTTATCCTGACAGTCATAACTTTCATACCATGTTCCATCAAGAATTGCATCTTTTCTATTTTGGTAGCCTGTTACTGCGACTTTACCAGGTTCGGCTACTTCCAATAGGATGCAGCATTTTGGACACATACCCACATAAGGTTTTATAAATTAGCAGTTCATGTAACATTTGAAGCAGAAATAAAAATTCCCTGAAAAATGAATTTTCTTTGCAAAGGTACAAGTTTCAGCATTAGCAGATGCTGTAGGTCTTCAGTAATAATGCTGGCACAGCCACGAGTTCCTGCAGCACGGTCAAAACGGCAACCACACAGTTCAGTTACACGTCCTCACTGTGTTCCAAGCACGATATCTAGATCTGTCTGTCCTGCCCTAATTACCGCCCAACAATACATCCCGGTTCTGTAGGCTCAGCACTTGTTAAGTGACAGCTCTTTGCCCTTGTTTGCAAGGAAACGAATCAAACGCAGAGCTCTGAGGCGCACCCTGGGGACAGCACTAAGAAGAGTGGGATTGTCCCTATTTTATTCCAGTAAGTTGCGCACTCTGAAGCAGAACGATAATTTAAAAGACTGACACTTCCAATTTAAATATGCAATTTTATATCGTTCATGCATGTAATTTAGCACAACTGTACTAACTGGAAGTGCAGGTAGTAAAAAACAAACTGCGATGGTCCTAGAAGTGTACCACAAATTCTACCTCGGTTTAATGGTACTGATGCCACAGTGACATCCTTTAGTTTACTGTATCAGGGCCACAGGCTACCTTCAGCCTTCATGAAAGTCTCTGGTAGGTAACCCCCAGCCCTCTGTAAAGGGTTGTAGAGAAAAACCTTTAACTCTGTGGTCCTGGCTCACAGGCTATAAGTAAACATGTATATCAGCACATGCAACAGAGTTGACGTTTGACCTCACCCATTCTTAAAGAAAACTACCAGTTCCCCAAAAGTGCCCTCGGCTCTACGTCTACTTGACTCCTACTGGCAAAGAGAACCAGAAAAGCGCCAAAGTAGAGACTTCATTAATAACTGTATTGATGCATCAGCCAGATCAGAAGGCTATTCACTCTACCCCAGCTGGACAGACTCCACAGCACTAAAAGCTCTGTCATGGAAGAAATCCGGCATGATACAGACTGCATAGGCAAATCCACTCCTTTGTTAAAGGGGTGCCCCTCACGCTCTCTTGACCAAACTCTAAAAGGTGACAGTGTCGCCCCGTTTCATTTTCTGTATTTACGCATTCCCAGCATGAAGCCTTTTACTTAACGAAGCATTACCAGAGCAAGCCATTTTAAGCTCATTTCACATCTAGAAATGTCCTCCACTTTTCAGGCAGCGCCAGTTGCACTGATCTGGATCTGTCCCTATCCTTCTGGGAAGCTTACGCTCCCGATCAGCACATTCAGTTCACCCTTCCCACGACATACGTACACAAAAGAATTGACTACTGTTTTTATTCCTAGGCTACAGGTGGCTAAGTAAGACATCAGCAAGCTTACCTGAAGAGACATCCTCTTTCTTTCTGATCATATGATCTTTCGTAAATTTTACTCGCTGATGAGCTTCTATGCACGTCTTGCACAGCCATTCCCCACACTCCACACAAAAACCAACAGCACTAGAATTATCTTCACAACTGGTACACACCTAAAAGCAGAAACAGAAGTCAGGTAGAGATACCCTTCCCCCATAAGGTCTTCACTGAATCTAAATAAAAAGCAGTAAAAGAGCGTTATTTCTTTAGATGACATGACATACAGAACACATGCACCAAGAAGTACATGAATTTCAGCAAGAAATGGAGAAAAACCTCACCTGTTCTGACTTTTCATCAGAGCTACTCGGTGCTTCTGATGTGTCCTTCACAAAGTAGTTGTCCACAAGGTCAATTTGTCTGCATTCTTGGCGGCATATTGGACACCTGATCACGCCAACTGCAACACAAAAAATTGCACCTATCTTTAGTTTTGAGAGGGGGGGAAATGCGATGAAAATCAATGCGCTAGAATCATAAAGGTTAAGAGGAAAATATAATGATCAGAATACACTTATAAAACCATCTTCAAGCTGATTAATTTGATCAGGTAGTTGCAAACCAAACTAAGATTAACAGCATGATCCTTACAAACCTGCACAGGTCCAGGCAAGACAGGATTTCAGCCAAAGCTTTCGGAAAGCGGCAAACTGATAAAGAGGCCTTCCCTCTCCAGTGGACAAATCCCAAGTTTTATGAACTGTAGTGCAACATGTGAAGTCTTTCACTGACTTCTGAATAACATGAAATCAACCTGCATTATCAGTGAAGTAGTCTTGTCATACTGTCTGTGAACAAGTACGATTGATACCAAATGCACCAGAGAAGGGGAAAAAGCTCAAGATAAGCTAGTGGAAGGACTTTCAAATGACTTTTTGACTTTTATGTCTGCTCTGTTAGGCATCCTGAAGATGAGCAGAACTGGCCTACAGGAAAAGATTACCTTGACTTTTCCATGCAGATCAGTTAAGTAATTGCCCCTGTGAAACGCATCAAGAACTAAACCCAGGAGCTCAAAACATGGAAGGAAAAGTTTTTGGAAGATATTACATTTAAACTAATGGGTCATGTACCTCAAAGAAATTGGTGTCACACTACTCAGTTTGTTTCCATACACCTTGCTAAGGCATGATAACGTTCCCTGCCTTTAAAAACCTGGAGGCTAACTACCATGAACTACTCCACAGAAAGGTGGTTGAATAAGGGGTATAACTGTAGTGAAATGCTCACAGTTTTGAAGCATGCTCAAAGAGGATGGTTTGGAGGGAAGGATAAGACTACAACAAACATGCAGGTCTAAAGTCACTAATTATCAGCTGCACATCCATCCCCTCTTGCAGGCAATATTTGGAACATGGGTACAACCTCAAAGAACTACACAATTCTGTAATTAGGAAATATTGGCTTATGCTCTAGTCATCAAGTCTTCCAAAATATGCCTCAGTGCTGCTGGGGTTCACTGAATTGTGGCTAAATTCTGAATGAGCTGTAAAGGTACCCGCAAAAAAATGAACCGGGTACAGACAATATCAACCATACTTAAGAAAGTTATGATACACGTGTTGGAAATTGGAAAAAAAAACCCCACTAGGAATCACTGACAAGACGTTTACATACCACATTAAAACCTATGTCATCCAATCTTAAAATTGGCAAGGAAATCCCTCCTGAAGGGAGGAGCTTTCAAATCAGGCTAGGCCCTTGTCTACATGAAGATCCTCAGAAAGGTTAAACTAATCCGTTTTAAAAATGTGCCCACATAGACAAGCTTCAGAATTAATAACAGCCTCCCCAGGATACCTGAAACAGAAGCAGCTGCCCTTACTCCAGGATAACAGAGGAAGGAAGTAAGATCCTTGCAGTGTCAACACATGCTCAGGATAATGATGTTGTAACAGTGATTATCTCCAGAAATGATCAACCATTTCAGTGCCCAAGTGAACAAGAAGTGCTTGCTCATTTATGTCAGGGAGTCTCCCAAGCAAAGAGGTCTTTGGGATTGTCCTCGCAAATGAAAGCTCAAGCTCAGTTAGCTATGGACAAACAAGTGATAATTCCAGGAGAGATGCTGTAATAAACCAATGGTCTAGATATGCAAAGCAAAGCAGTTTCACTGACCAGCTATAACTAAAGCATGTTAAGTGGTGCAGGAGCCCTGTGACAAAATGAAACATCACAGCAAAAACCTGTCCTTATTATTACAGCAGCTCTCCTATGCTAAATCACAAGGCAAACGACAAAGTGCGTGCGTGTGGAGGGAGGAATTGAGCCTCGCTCCTGAAATGTCAGCAATCTCTCTGAAATCCGGTTCCAGAGCCCTACCCTACATCCTGTTCTTACCATGCAAACGAATGGGAAAGCAAGGCAGCAATAGGTATCTAGAACACTGAACTGCCTTAGAAAAGATGGCTGTGCTGGGGTGATGATGTAGCCATTGGTTTTTGTGGGCGATATCTTTTACTGGACCAAACGTATAGTTGAGAGGGACAGAGAAACTGTTGGTACCACTGTATCTTTCATAGTTTCATAGTTTCTAGGGTCGGAAGGGACCTGAGCAGATCATCGAGTCCGACCCCCTGCCGTGGCAGGAAAGAGTACTGCGGTGAAACGACCCCAGCAAGGTGTTCATCTAACCTCCTCTTAAAAACCCCCAGGGTAGGAGCCTGCGCCACCTCTCTTGGAAGTTGGTTCCAGACCCTAGCCGCCCTGACCGTGAAGTCGCGCCTCCTGATGTCTAACCTAAACCTACCCTCTGCCAGCTTGTGACTGTCATTCCTGGTCGCTCCTGGCGGTGCTCGGGGGAACAGGGACTCCCCCAGTGCCTGCTGATCCCCCCTAACCAGTTTATAACAGGCCACAAGATCCCCCCTCAGCCTTCTCTTTTGGAGGCTGAACAGGTTCAGGTCCCGTAGCCTCTCCTCATAGGGCCTTTTCCTCCGGTTTCTTTACCAGAGACTCAAGGAGTAGACTACAACTCCACAGTAGTACAGGGAAGCAGGGTTTTTTTTCAGGCAAAGTATTCAAGTACTGCTTGGGTTCCCATCTGAAGTTTGTGTTCACATGATACAGTAGCAGTAGAAAGTCAAGGCCCTTTAAAAGATGGGGCAAAAAACTTGCCCATGAATAAAATAGACAAAACAAGTAACTATTTCAGACAACGAGAAGCAAAGTGTGCGCACCAAAGTCATGAAGACAAGGTATATCAGGACTTTCTTTGAAGCACTACATCTACAAAACTGTGTATATTCAGTAAGACAGCACAAGACTATATTTAGTGGATTATAATCTCTTTAAAAAACCCTTGACTTCTCAGCTTGCCTGTTATTTCATTTTCAGTGCTAGCTTTCAAATACTGTAAGTAACATTACACACAACACTTCATCTTGTGTCCCCAACTCTGCTAGCCTGAAGATGCATCAGTATAACTCAGTATCTAAGCTCTTCAGAAACCAAGTTATACTCTCCCAAAGAAAAAGTTGCTTAATGAGAAAACTGTCAAAGTAGGGTTATTTTATAGGAAGAAAGGAATACTTGCATCAAAACTTAACATGCAACGAAAAGTTAATTTTCTGGTAAAAGCGTGAAGTACATTTTAGGATGGGGTGTAACATTTCACTCATGAAGCCAGAGGAAGAAAAATGTTTCCCGTCCCCAAAAATCTAAATTACAATGAAGTTTAAAAGACTGTCCTACTTTTACGTAGGACTGACCACATGCTTCCTCTGGGAATATAAATTAAGAAGAACTCTAGCACACTACCACTTCATCAGGTAACATATTGTATTATTACAGATGCGGTGCCATACTGTTCTCTTGAAGCAAATTAAGATCAATGCGTGCTTCAAAAACCTCCAAAGTTAAAACCACAAAAAATATTTAAAAAGCTTCTTTCTGGATGGCACAAGAAAAACAAGTTATGGTAAGAGCACCTAGACCATCCCAAGCCACAGCAAAATTAGGAATGGACGTGAGTGTTGAGAGGAACTAAGATCAGACACAACATGGGGTTTTACATCCTTTTCTCAACCTGGAATTTTTATTACAAAAAAAGCTTTTCCAAAACACCAAGGCTGGTTTCATGCTACTTTAAAATAGTGGTCATCCTCTATTAAATCACATCTTTTAGACAAGAAGTCAGTCTTACAGTCGAGGCACAGAACTTAGAACCAGAAAACTTCTGAGTTGATAGAATCAGAGAAAATGGGGGCTGGAAGGGGCAAAGACTCCAGATGTGGCCTCCCCAGTGCTGAATAGAGGGAAGAATCACTGCGCTGGACCTACTGGCAACACACCTACCAACGCAGCCCAGGATGCCGGTAGTCTTCTTGGCAACAAGGGCACACTGCTGGCTCCTGTTTAGCTTCTTGCCCACTGTCACCCCAAGGTCCTTTTCTGCAGAGTTGCTGCCCAGCCCGTCGGTCCCCACCCTGTACCGGTACATGGGATCGTTCCCTTCTAAGTGCAGGACTCGGCACTTGTCCTTGTTGAACCTCATGAGATTGCTTTTGGCCCAATCCTCCAATTTGTCTAGGTCACCCTGAATCCTAGCCCTACCCTCCAGTGTACGTACTGCTCCGCACTGCTTGGTGTCATCTGCGGACTTGCTGAGGGTGCACTGCATCCCATCTTTCAGGTTGCTGATGAAGACATTGAATAAAACACTTCTATTCCCAGCCACCCTACAGACTTTGTGGAACATAAGGCACCTACCCTACATAGTCCACTTTCCGCACGTGTAAAATGGAAATACTACTTGCTTTACATAAGCATTCCGACACAAAAATCCTTGAGTTCTGAGATCCTCTCATGGAATTTTCTAAACGGCGAAATGTATTTTTAATTACATTTCCTTTTTTGGCTTTTCCCCAGCATTTAATGAGGAGCTGTCAGTAGTGTGAATTACACAGAAGTCCAGTTGTACATACACGGTAGAGTACATAAGAATTTTTTTTTTTTTTTTTTTTTTTTTCTTTTTTTTTTTTAGGACAGCTAGCTTTACTAGTCTTAAAAAAAAAAAAACAAAAAAACAAAAAAAAACTCTCAAACCCATTAGTATCCCCCAATAAAAACAGAGATTAAGAGCATCTCTAACAAATATTTAGTACTGAAGGGGGCATGTCTACATGAGATGCTTTACTTGAGATTAGATCAAATTACTGTGCAGGAAGCACTTAGCAAATTTACTCACGATTACTTCCTGCGCAGTAGCGCACATGTAGATAGCCGACAGAGTAAATGTGCTCCTGGTCAGTCGGACAGCAGGGGGTGCGACCCTGCTCCTTGCCCCTGGCAGCTGCCTGCTGCCAGGGTGGGCTCCATCACCAGAGCCCGTGAGGGGACAGTGTCCCCTTGCCCCTGCAATGGGGGGCTCCCAGCCGCCGCTTCACGATTATGATTAGG